ATGATGATATGTACAACTTTTCGTATCATTAAATGAGTACAACGTATGAAATAATAGCAGTAATAATGACAATAATAGTAGAAGTTATAATGATCATACATATAGCTAAATAACAAAACAACAATAACCGAATATGATGACTGAAAAACTGGTCGAAAAGGAATAAACATCAATCAATCAATACAATTACTATGTATATATTAAGAATGTACTAATGTAATCCACGCGTAAACTTGTAAATTAGTAGATAAATGATAATTTCTTAGATGACTGCATTTTATGTACAGTAGTGAAGTTAAACAAACACATTCGGACAACTTATATGGAAACGTTTATACATTCTGCCATAGCTAGCTACAATATACAGATATCCATCCTTTACAATAATTCCCACATCAAGTACTTCCACTGATTTATGTGATAAGAAATATACTCAAATTTATGAGTTCTCTACAAAGCTGCTAACTTGACTATAAATTGCACTGAAATTATTTTAATTTTTCCATTATTTTAAGGCCAAGATCATTCATCATCATACTAAAAGAACCATATATTTCATGATTTAGACAAATTGTGGATTCTTTTGAAGAATGACTGGTAAAACGATTCGTATTCATCTGTATTGGAAAAAAAATGATTTGAAGCGAAAAGTAATTATGATTCGAGGAATATTTGGTAGAGATTAAACATTTCAATCTTTTATATTAATGAGAAATAAACGGCAAAATCATCATAGGAATTTCGAAAAAACATGATGAAATCACACCCACCGCTTTCGAATCGGCAGTCGAACTTTGACAGCTCATTTTTTAAAATCAGAGGGGTGTGATCTATAATGTCTGAAACTAATATGTTAAGTTCATTGGCTAATTTCAAGGTTAATTCAAGTTACCTGTTCGTTTTTAGTTGGTTGATAAATTTAGCGATAAATTTTAGTTACTTAAAATAACAATGCGTTGGTGGAATAATTTCTATTGGTTACAGATGACTAGGTGTTATTCGGTCGGATAAATACGAGTTGTAGTGCAGATGATACGCATATTAATAGGTGAGAATGCTAAGAACGTTAAACAGTAACATAATAGACTGGATGCTACCAACTGGTGATATTAAGGCGGCTTTCAATGATATACCGACTGGACATACACCAACTTATGCAACCGATGATAGTTATAGAGATTTTTCTAAATGGGAAAACTTAAATACTCCAACACCACTTGACAAAGAATCTGACAACTACTTCATATATCCACCGAACCCAGTAATAAAAGGTAAGTTCATCTTCCCTCTTGAGTGGAAACACTTAAATCAACGTTTTTTCTTAAATTAGAAACTAATCTCCTCGCTTTCTATTTCAGTTGAGCCAAGTGAAGATGATCAAATTATTCAAAACAGAGATAATTCACAATTACTTGAAGTACAATATTTAAAACCGTTGACTACCAATAGAAATGATCAAACAGTTACTCAACCTCAAATTCAGTCTCCTTTGGTTTATTTGAATTTAGAATCACATCCTAATCCATCTAATACTGAAATGAAATTAGAAATATTAAATGAAACAGTATCATTGGAATCCCACATGACTCCAATTAAAAATTATAACTCAGATACTATATTTAATCACTGGTCAACAGATTCTTTATTACACTCGACAAAATTTAACACTGATACTGTCTCCTCGAATTATAGAGGCTTATATGATAATGCATATACCATATCGGAAAATCATACACCATGGTCTACATATCAAACTAATGATATTGTTATCATTCCAAATATCGATGGTAATAGTAATAATAATGGAATTATCAGTGATCAGCGAAGCTATGTAACTCCACAAAGTGTTCCCACTTGTTCTACATGCTCTGTATCAAATAAAGCAATAGATAATAAATTTGATTTTAATCAATGTAAAAGTGAATATTGTTACAAAGCCATACAGACTGAATCAAAATCTATTCATAATAAATGTCAAAAATTATCTGACCAACAAAAACCATTCATATGTGGTATATCAAGTTGTAATAAGCGTTTTGTTCGAATTGACGAACTTAAACGTCATCAACGTACACATAGTGGAATTAAACAGTTTATATGTGATATTTGTGAAAAAGGATTTACGCGAAGTGATCATTTGATGACACATCGTCGTACACATACAGGTGAACGACCATATGAATGTAAAATATGTGACAGACGATTTGCACGTTCCGATGAACGTAATCGTCATACTAAAACACATATGCGTGATAAGCCAAGAAGAGGACGTAAACCTAGAAATGCATCTATTCCTTCTTCAACAACATTATCATCATCATCAAAAGAAGTAGTAGTATCAACTAACTTTCCTAATTACAATGTACATCCATATTATTCTATGCCATTGGACCAATTATCATTTGTGCACAGAAATACCACAAATAACAATAATATTGTGTAGTTGTATAAAATATTAATCGCAGAATGATAATATCCTCCTCTCTCTATATCTTCCTATCAGTTTGTACAGCCCCGACCTCCGAAGTTCCTCATTCAAACCCAATTATTGCAAGATAATCTTGATTTCATGTAGATAATGATTTTGATTATATAGATCTTTAACACATCCTATGTTCTATGCATTTGACCTACTACCATTACTCTACTCAATAATTCATCGCTTCCCTGACATCTCACTGAATCCAGATGAACTATTTCGACTCACCATACTCCCAAGCAATCCTCATCACCTAGAACTATATAATAAATGCCTTTATTATTTTCATCATCATTGTTATTTTTTATTTCATATTAATTTAAAATAAAAGGAAATTGAAGTAAGTCTTTTTCATGCTACAGAAAAGTATAAGATATTGAAAGTTTTAACCAAGAAACAGAGAATAATATACATTATAAATAATAATTTCCAGTCGTTTTTATCAAATAAATGGATTGTGATTATTAGCAGTGTAATCCAGGATATCCATTTTGTTCTATTTGAGACTTTTGCACTAGTTAGATTTGTGTTGGTCACATCGGGATTTAAAATTGAAACCTCAATATCAACAATGAGATAATTTGGAACCTTACTAAAACACCTTTAAAACAGGCGAAAAAGATGAATTTAATTGCTACAGTTAGTTGGCGAGACGTAAATGTTGATCAGATATAGCATCGGCAAAACTATAGAAAACTGTACCTGAGACATTAGAGGTGATCTTGAAACCCATACACCTTATAGACCAGCGAGTAAACGGATCACCAGGAAGTGACGAAATCTAAACTTGTTTGTTAGTTAAGGATTTTTCACGATTTATGATCGATTTTAACTATCTTAAAGGGGACTGTTTTTGTCATAAAAACTCGGTAAATAATTGGGCAGTTTATCGAGTCAGAAATACTTATATAAACGATTTATAATATTTATACAAAGAATCTGAATGGTTGATGTAATGACTTTTTAGTATCAATGAATTTTAAACATGACAGAAATATATTGTGCTCTTAAAATTTTTTTAATACAAAGTAATGAACCATTCATTATGTTTCGGATATAATTTACACCAATCATAAGCGACATAATTTTCAAGTAAATGTATCTTAAAAAGCCATCTGCACAAAATGAATACATACTCTTTGAGAAGTCACTATTTCAATCTTGGTTGGTTCAACACCATATCATTTATTACTGTGAATTTGTTAACTAGGGCCATCTGTCACATTTTCAATAATCGAGTAACGTTATATCTAACATTTCAATTGGTGAGTGCCACATATTGAAGTGTAATTTTCACTAGAGATTTCATTTTAAGCGATTAGAGTTATCAAAAATTGCTGTGTATGAACATGTCACTATAGGACAGTCCAATATAAAGGATAAAAAACACAGATACATATAATTTTAAAATCAGATCTTGAAATGAAATCTCTAATGAAAATCACATTCCAATATGTGGCAATCAAACACTAATTCAAATGAAAAAATAGCTGAAAATGCTGGTTTAGTTTTGTGTTAAGCTGTAAAGATATACATTTTTGTAAAAAAAATGCACGTTAAAATTCGGTATTTGATTCAGGACGGCTAATCAGGTCCCATATTTGGAATAAATTCATGCTAATTTCCAGATATAAAATAGGATGTGAAACTTCCACTTTTTTAACACCATAAACAACATACAATAACATCTTATGAAAATTAATTCAATTTAGTAGAATTTGTCAATGATTGGAGTAAACAGCCATATTATATAACCGGAAAGCGTTAAGTTCTCCATAAAATACCACACAATTTATAAGCAAAAAACCATATGAACGAATAAGTTCGTATAAATCTGTCGATAGCGTACCCGGTAAAAATATTATACGATAAGGAATCGAATCTCTGATATTATGTCAATGTTGAAGAGGTAACTGATATGTACCTAACTGTACCAGTAAACACAAAAACTAGTTCTAAAGCAGTCTATTGAGTTTCTCTAACCCTCAGAAAAACTGTCCAGAATGACTTGATATCATTTTACCACTACCAATAACTCACTTTACAGACACGAATTGTGTGATTTGACCCTAGATCACATTCCAGTTATGGAGACTACTGGTACTACCACCCTGTTACCCAAATCGAACCATGTAGAATGGAGTATGAGCTAGATAATTACTGACCAAAAGTTCAGCCCTTGACCGCCGAGTCACCGCTTACTCTGTAGAATAATAAATCTAGTTGATAGGATCAAATGGATTATTCTCAAACCCCTTTAACAGGGTACATGTAGGAATTATGAGGTAATTAATCTTTTTTGAATATTAACCAATATGTAATAAGAACATAAATATACTCATCAAACGCTTAAAAGTTTGTTACCATGACGATAATTATTTATATATGATAAAAACTTCAACTAAATCTCTTCATATGAGATTGACAATGATAGTCTTGTTATTACGAACATTAATAATGAACCTCCCATGGTATTCCTACACAAACAAAAAAACAACGTAAAACTTCAGAAAATCAAAGATGATATGTGCTGTAAGTTTTTTTAATGAAAATTGAATCAATAAAAGCTAAAAATAAACATCAAATATATGCACGCATATATATACATATAACATATATATATATATATGTTACATATCGAGAAATTCAAGGTAACAGAATGTTTGAACTTAGTTATGTATGAATACAACTAACTCAAATACATATTTGAATAGATTGTACAATAAGAAAACAAGGAAAGGCTTGAATTTTGTGGCGTTCAACATGAGTTTACAATCAAATTGTATTATCCATATCTGGGCAACCTTGACGCCATACTTCAGACCAATTTTGTTTACGAAGGCGTTGTTGTATAAGTGTTTCTAGTTGATTACGTGTATTATTATCCAATAGGTTATAACATGCCTAAAACAATAAATATTGCATACAGAAAAAGCATTAAATAAATTTCAAAAATAATTAGGAGGATATATATTTTTGTACATCAGATATATATGGCAAAATTGAACAAATTATCACTTTTGGTGTTGATATTGTAACCTGCTCTTTTCTTGAGGAAGGAATTATTAAATGACTAAGTGATTATATCGTGTTAATTCGGTAAGAATCGAATACAAATGATCATCGTTATCTTTACGATTAATAACATCAACATTTCGGAACATTGATCATAGTGTTCGCTCTCAATGACTGGAATCAACACCATATGGTTAGATTTCGTCAGTAGTCAAGTAAACAGACTGTAGATATGAGGTTAAAATTGATAAATAATTTTCTAAAACTATGCGTAGATTAATATCCTTCTAGTCCGATGGAAATAATGTGAGATTGTACTATTATCCTGAATGAGACGTAGTTAGTGGCTTTTAATAGTGTCCTGAGGGAAACAAGTATTATTAATGGCCATTCGATGATAAGCGCACGACATTACAAATCAGTTGGATTTAGAAATGTAAACTATTAAATGATAACTCAGTGGTAAAAACGCATCCATTTAAATGGGTCCTTAAAGCGTCCAAGACGAGTATGAAATAACCGTTCGCTGGGGATACCCGTTAATTCACGATGAAATTAACTTTCAAAAATTCTCACCCAACCACCACAGTTAAATATTTATAAAGATGAATATACTTTGACATTAAGTAAAATAGTACATAATTTAAAGTGTTTATTTCTCCTTAAATTCATCTTAATTGGTACAATTTTCTCCTACTATTTCTCTATGAATACGTGTCCACTGATTAATCAATCGTATGTATTACTGTATGGTCGTAATACTGAGATTGATAATAGTAATAATAATTCATTAATTAAGTAACAGGAAAAAAACGCCTCACAACTTTAAAGCATGACATGATGCGTGGGTGGCGTATGGGAAATCAAAATTACTGATTACTGTGAGTAGCAGCAACAATAGTAGAAGCGGTAAGGGAATGAAAAAAAAACTAATAAAATTTTTTATCTAGGCGGTCAAACTTGAACATGTACATGTATGTCTGTTTACTTATGTTGTGTATTATGCCGCAAAATATGAGATAAAAAAATAGAATAAAACAAAACATTATTATTATTATTATTATTATTATTAGATAATGGTGATTCGAAAGACGGAAAAAGGAACGAGTAAATTCTTACTAGGAATACATTTTAATATATATTTTTTAAACTAACAATATTAAAAAGAGACGGATAAACAGTCGTATTTACTCTTCTTTATTCCCTATTATAATTAATTATTATCCTTATTGATTTGTCTACATTAAAGAGAAATGATTAAAAGAAGGCAATACTAGACAAATATTTGTGTTAGAGATTATAATTTAAAATATAAAAAAAAATTTAGTTTCTTTTGTTTGATTGATGCTCGGAGTTATGCAGAACAGCGACATCGACGGCAAAGGAAAAAAAATCTCGATAGTATAATAAGAAGACGAAGATTATCAGAACTATGTGATATATTAGCGCTATACATTTCGAACAATCTGATCACATATATACTTGTTATTAAAACATTTATATGTAAAACTAAAAGGTCAACTAGACTGGAAATGAAGGTTAAAACGAGACAAGGATAATAAAGAAAGTAATGTTATAACAATTTTAAACTTCATCAATCTGGATAATAAGTCAATATTACCAGGGTAGGTTTAAGGTGAGCACAAATTGTTTTTTTAATACATTAAGGGGGTTTGAATTTTCGTATGGCCAAGGCTTCAATAAACCTTAGTATACGCCTTATAACACTTTTGTACAACACCAGAAAAACCGAGTCCAGATCAATCTTATGATCTGTTTCAACTATGTGTTTAGCAATAGAGGATGGATGGATGTTTATCTTCTACTCTTATTAGGTCATTTGATTTTATTAGTTGAATTCATGAGTCGATTAAAGCTAGATCACCATGGAAAACCTGAAAACACTGGACGATCGTTTCGTCCTAGTATGGGCCACCCATGCTAGTTGACTTAGAATACGCAGATTATATAATTCTGTCTGGTGAAGACTGAAAAAAATATAGTCTTTTAATCATCATAAGCAACCGCAAGTTCGTTCAACGAATATCGTATTATTTTATAATTAATTGTTTGGGTCTGTATTTTTTCGGCTTCACTGTTACCTTGTTTGAAAAAGAGATCAGAAAATCATTTGAAAACCACATCCATATACACATTAAGCGTTAAGAACTGAGATGATGAAATCGATTGAGACATTCAATTCCATAGTCTACATACAATAAAATTTTTAGCGTAGAAAGGCAACTTTTCAAAGATATCTTAAATCAACACAACTAAATTAAGAGTGACCGAAAGTAAACCGGTTGTTTCACTGACTGCTTACAAACTAGAGGTAATTCAACTTACCAAATGTTACGCAGGAGAAGTGTTAAATGACATTTTTTAAAAGTGAAAAAATCTAAAATATGTACAAACATTAATTACTTAGTTGAATAAATGTATTTTACAGATAATCCAGTATTTAATAGGGATCATAATGATCTTTTCAGATAGCTGTTAACGAATGAAAAGAGCGCAACAACTGCGTTTATCGTCAAGGGAAGAATTATTTCATAGATTAACATAAAATGCCATAAAGGTTAGACTGAGAACAACTAGAGACAATTGAATAAAACTGCTTTCAAACGAAAACTAATCTATACTTGTTTGATGAAAATATCCCAATGTAAGACCCGACTTTTTTTCCTTATTCTACTGTTAATTCCACTACATATATAGTACATTATAAACAATACAAAATTTGATTTCACTAACTTGTAAATATTCAGAATTAGGGTTTTGATCTTTATTCTTTGGAGCATTTAAACGACAGAGTACAGCCAAAGCTGTTTCACTTCCAAGTCGTACTGCACTATTTTTATCTTTTATTCCGCTAAGAAGTTTAATCAAAAATGTACATAACCAAGACGGAATTGGTAATTTTACACGCCATGCAATATGACTGGATATAACTGTAGACAATAGACGCACATCGATTACAGGATGTTCGAAACCCTATTTAAAGGTCAAAAATAAAATTGAAAGTGAAAAACAGAGAATGTTTGGAAAAAGATCAAATAAAACTGACTTGTAAATTCACTTGATATAGTTTACTTGAATCTTCTTCTCATTGATGTTTAAGACTGCAATTCATCAGTCTCTATTTGGCATATGTGCATACTGTGCGTATTGCGTACTTCATTCTAAGAAAAGATGGGTAGTGGCTAGCAGTGGATTGCAGTACAGTATATCAACTGGATGGGTTTTTTTATCCAGTTTATTTGAGCGAATGTCATAACGACTCCAATAATTTACCCGTTTCAGATAAACTACTATTAAGTAATTCAGTAGACATAGTATATTTTACCAATCGTATACATATAGGGTATAAAATAAAAATTACTTTTCCAAGTAGCTCCAGTAATAGTTTAGGATTATAATTCACTTCATGATTCTCTGTTAGATAACCGACAAAGCATCCAATACATCTGTATCCTATTTGACAAACGACGGACTAAATGTGAAGTATGAAAGAAAAAACAGACAAACAATAAGAGTAGTGAAAGATTACAATGTGACGATAATATAATAATGATTATTATCACTGCGACGATAATTACAGTAGCCAACTGTAATATAACTAATTACAAAACAATTGATCGGAAGGGATGGGAGATAGTTATTGAAAGTGGCACTGTTTATTTAGAGTAATTTCGGACTAAATTACAAAACTTTTTTCATACAGACAAATCGCAATTATCATTTCAGTATGTATAAAGTTTCAGTAGATAACACCAATTCACAATAGATAAGAAGCACACCAGAAAAACATATAATGTATATCTACAATTTTGCTGTTATTCAGTCAGATTACCAATATAAGTTATTGTGTAACCCCATCTGTCAAATTATTACAGTTAATTTAACGTTAGCAGTTCATTTAAATGATCATTTACGTATTTCTACAGTCTATTTGAATAGTTTTATTTCATTGATAAATAAATGAGTTAAACCTAAAAATTAAGCTTACACTTAAGCTAAATCAAATCAATTGATATTATAGAAAATAAAATAGGAATGATATTTTAATAGCTCCACTGATCCCATGAGATGATTTCAATACATAAAATTATTATTCCTCTGTTATTATAAGTTCTTTTCCGTAATTTTCAACATTACTCAACTATGAAGAGAAAATATAACTAAACATGGTAGTAATGATTTACGTTAATTTTGTCTAGAGAAAGTGGATTAAGTAAAGTTACCAGGTTCCAGTTACCAAGTACAATATCCAACTTTGCGTTGTAATATTTTATATCTACAAATACTACTGCTACTACTAATATTCAACTTCATAAACTGAAGAATCGAATCTGCCGCGTATGGATTGAAAATCCAGCGCTTTATATAGTATATGTATATTACTGTTATCGAAACTTCTTAACGATATAAAAGCCGAAAAAAATTCAATAGTGATCAAATAATATTATTATGAACAAGTAGGTGACGAATGAATACGTAGATGAAGAATACAAATGATGTCGCTTGAAGTGTCCCATAGGCTTAGACTTGTATTTAGTGATTTAACATAGTCGATACAAAATATTTGTCAGAATGATGTCATTGAGTTTGATAAAGTTCTTTTCATAAACTTTAACATTCCATATGATAGAAGGTGAGAACAATACAATTTATTGTATTGGATAACAATTTTAGACAAAATAATTAATTAGTTTTGGAATAATACAAATAACTCAGCACCCAAGTACAAATTCGACAAAAAAAGTATATGAGGTAGGGACTGAATATGCAACCTACTCTTTGCGATACAAACGGTTTGATGATCAAGCTGCTGTGCGTATCATTACACGAACACACAAACATACATATAATAGGAATTTGTTGATACAGTTAAATAACTCAGTAAGCACAATATTTATGATTACAAATTGAAATAATAGTACTAATAAAACTAACATTTTCATGAATGGATAATTGTTTAATGAATTGCCCTAGGCGTTCACAAAAACCTGACTGTATGGTCTCTGAATTGATTAAAATTTTTGGTGTATGCTTCAGTGGAATAAGAAGGGCAATGCCTTGACTTTGGTTAAATGTCCATTGTACATCTAGAGTAAACAATGAAAATTACAAAAGTAATGAAAAACTTATATCTGACAATTAGCAGAAAACTTTCTCTAGTAATTACACACATATATTTAAATTAGACTATATAAAATTGAAGTATAAACAGTGAGGAAGAAATTAAAAAAAAACCATTCCTAACTGTATGTATTGAAAAAAAGATTCAATTTCATCTTAGACTTCATAAATCAAATTCAAGTTTTGCATAGAATAAATGTAAACAATCAGAAACCTATCTATTTATAAATATTCTTGAAGAAGGTTATTGAGAAATAGAATAAGATTACTGTGAACTTTTTTCAATATAGACTTGAACTAATAATAAAACACTTTTTCGAATAAATAATGAAGGATGAACTGATTTCTAGACAGAATGACTAAAGAGAGTTACATAATAGTAGAGATTGTCTAAAGAATAGGGAAGGTCAGCTAATTATAACAAAAAATCCTAATTCGTAGTAATGTGGCGTTTACTATTTATGTTGACAGATATAAGTAGTATGTAGCACCAATCAGAAGTGGAATGGATGCAAGTAGAAGATTGAAAAGATTCAATTGAAGAGAACAGAAAGAGAAGTAGAAAGTAACTGTCATAACAACAGAATTGAAAGAATCATGAAGCATGTAAAGGACAACCGATGGAAGATGTGCAAATAGTGTATTTATGTATAGTTTTCATATTTTACGAAGGCAATTTGTAATTTTACATTAAATAATAAATTGGCTTTCCCAACCGAGTCCTTGTTCACTACAGTAATATCAGAATTTCAAATATCTATAAATAAAAATAATATAGTTGTAATATGCCAATGAGTAGAAAAATTAGATTTTCTAAAGTTTCGCGACTCAGTGTAAGCCACAGTTCTTATGAGCTACAATAATGACAACCACCACAAAATCTGCTATTCTTAGAAGTTTTGATTAGTTGACAATTGAATTCATTTTATCAGCATAGTTTAACAAAATGTCTCACTTGTTTAAATTATCCATTACAGGAAATTGATTTAAAGTTAAAAAAACATTAGAAATTCCTACTTTATTTTTTTAATATTTGAAGTTGAAAAGAGGTCTACATGCATAATGACACTCTATCATTAGTTGTTCTATTGAATTAATTTATTAATAATGAGTAAGGGTAACATGTTAAGGAGAAAAAGAACGAAAGGGAATTTCCATATATTTTTCTATACATTGGAAATTGATAAATCATCGAGATCTTCAATCTATATTGATTTTCTACCAAGAATAGTGGGTAAGTTATTATTGACGTTAAAGTCAATCATACTAATAAATAAATACCAATGAAACCAGCATGTCATAATAGAGTTTGTATCCAACTACCAGTCGTCAGTGAAATATAAACAATGTAGAGTCTGGGGGCAAATGTAAGCCAATTTAAGTTGACATAAAAAAGATCATTACAACAAGATGAGTAGTAAACGAGTCAAAGTGACAGAAGCAATCCATAATAGTAGTAGTAATTGGAGAGAATCAAAAATTGAGAATATAATTTCCATAGAAAAAAAAGAATAAATGTGATATATACCACTATAACTGATTTAAAATAACCAGTTATGAAATTGACATGTATCATTAAAACAAATTCAAACCAAAAGATTATTGAGATTTTTATAGGTTGGCGGTCGTATTCGATTTGATCACGTCTAATTTAATTAGTCAAAATATGATAATACAAATAACATTAAATAGTTAATTGTAATTTTTCATAATTACACTTATAGAATCATTATTGTTTAATAACATGATAAATTAAGATATACCTTGTTTGGTGGATGAAGACAGGCATAGTTTCCGTTCAAATAAATCAACAAGTTCAAGTTTCTTCTGTATTTTCTCATTGTCACTTTGTGGAAAGTTGTCAATAGTGGCTTGTGCAGCAACAACAATAAATCCTATACATGAAGAAACTATAATACGCAGTTGATCCGAGGAGATCAATACTTGTTTAGTTTGATTAAATGATCCTAAGACACTTTCTTGTTCATCATCATTATCTTCACTATTATATTCATTGTCATCAACAATGTTATTTCTGTGTGGATTTGTTTCAATTCGAATTTCATTACCACAAGACTCTGGTAAACGCATTAATGGAATTAATGAGTGAAGTATAGTATTTAAAGCGGTTAGTCCAGCACGACCTCTGGAATGTTCTAGACACAAACGTAACGCCTGTAAACTAGTATCACTAGTAAATATTGATAAAATGAAAAACAAGATAACACAAAGATAAAAATATGGTAAAAAAATACATGCAAAAATAAATAAGCTTATAAACCTGCATATAATATTATTTTAGTAGATGGTGAATTCAATTTAAATGAACAAAAGTGTGATACAGTTAGAAACGAGCTTATGTTTAGAAGAGCACCAAGAGTTGTTATAACAAGATGTTGATCTATTTTAGGAAATCACTGACTATTAGCTTAGGTTGCATTAATATATTATACCATCATCGATGGAGTTTGTAGAATGTTGAGAGCGTATGGATTAGAAAGGTAGTGAAACAGTTTAAAATCGATTACAATAAAATATCAAATTTCTGAATGTTTTTTGAATACTTAGTTACTTTGACTTTCCGATACAGGTCTATATAACATGAATATATATCTGCTTATTTTCACTTTGTTTTGTAATATTATGTAATACATGAACTGGAAATTATGGATCTTACACTGGAGTTGTATATCAATTAATTGGTTTTGACCTATCTTGAATTAAAATATAGTTTTAGCACATATTTATGGATGTAACAATAAGTGAGTTTAAACAATATTTCAATGAATAACTGTATAGCATCATTAAACCTCATTAATATTAGCATTGACTCGAAACTGAGTACATAAACCTACAAATACAATTTGTATGATATAGTAACGGTTTATAGTTAACATATATCTGAGTTGCATAATTTTATTTGCATACTTTACACATAATACAAAGACTTTTGTTTAAAATAAATGATTTATTCAGTAGAACTGAACATCTCTCAACAGTAGTACATTATTATTTCTAAGAAACAGTAGATGTAGTATAGTTATTAGGTTAATTAATTGGATCCACAAACAATATGATTAGAATGAACAATCTTACTTTAAATACTTATGCTTATACAAGATGAATAGTGTGTGGTGGTCGGTATTCGATATAATCCTTAAACTTCGTATACAGTTCGTCTTGATAACCGTGCTATATAACGCCCCAACGGTATATTAATCAGAAGGCGAATACGAAGCGTTGATTACGTTTATTACGGGACCACACACATAGATATCCAAAATTACAGATGCGTTAAACAAGCATAGAAGAGTTGTGCCGAAAGGCAAGCAACCACGTGAGGAGTCAGCGAATATGAATACGAGTAAGCGCGTACAGTTAAGCAAGTGAGAGCGAGAGAGTAATGAATATGAATAACATGGACATATATATACATAGTGAAATGAATGAGTGATAGAATCAAATAAGTGGTTAATAGTAAGACTAGCATAGTGAATAAATGCGAGGGCCGTAAGCAATATTCAAGCATACATGTTCATGCATTCGCAATAGTAATAAAGATGCAATGATATAGATAAGTTGTTGTTAGGATGATTCAGTTCGTTAATAAATTAAGAAAATGACTTCATTGAATTAATTGTGAACAAACTCAATTTTACGTGATCTGTTATAAGTGTTTTACATTAAGTTCAATTTGTAGCCATCATTAATATATTTATGTATAAGTCTTGAATTAAATCTATTGTAAAAGGCAATGACATTATTTTAAAAAAATAAGTTCAATAGTTTTAAATGTCAAGAGGAAGGTGATTTAACAAGAAAAAATGAGTAGCTTATGATTACAAAATGTTATCAGCATAATATAACAGGTTTAAAATAATTAACAGTGAACTAGAAGATCTATTCATTGATTATCTCGAAATAGTAACCATGATCTACGTTTGATTGAAAATAAAAGACACTATAGTAAGCGTTTTGTATAAAAGCAACGTGAAATTTAACAAATGTTCTAAAGAACAAAGAACACATTTGAAAAGTTTTTCTAAACAGTTTCTATCATTACATTTGTGAATCGAACGAACAACATTGTATAAAAAAAAACGAAGACCAAAACATAAAAACTGATATTTTTCAGATTGAAAAAAGATTAACTAGACAATAAGTACTTCTTTTTTCTCTCTTACATTTCATGCATTCTTAATGACTAGACCAGGTTGTACAGTTTTAAAGTTGAGTGTACTACTATTAATAAGTTATAATGACACATTCAACTAAATAGTACATAGAAAGTTTGTATATATTTTTAAAAAATGAGTGTGTGCTGAGTGCCAGCGGACAAAAAAATGAAAAGACAGAGAAATTAACAAGACACCGGTGAACAAAGTAAAAAAATAGAATAAAAAGGAGACCGTGAGAAATCTAGTGTAAAATGTTTAAAAAAAACTGATACACATGTAGGATAATTCTTGTCACGAACTGGGGTAATTCGTAGGAGTATTATAAATCAAAGGACACAAAACAACAGTTAAGCCATAAATGAGAACTCTTTAGAAGTGTATACTTATATTTTACAGAGTCGAACATAGAGCTTTAACGTCTGATTGTGATGATTATTCTTTCTGATCACTGAATTGAAATCCAATGCTGTTCAGAGTTTGTATTTCTTTGTGAAGGTGAGGAAATTACTATAAAAACATTTTGATGTACAATAATTGATTACAAGCTAACATCCGAATTCGAGATGGATTTATCGATTTTTTTGGTGAAAGCTCAAACCCATAACATCGATGATGGGAGTGGGACAGTTAGTTACTAATGATGTGGAATCGGATTTAAGGTCTATGGTAAGTTGATTGAAGTTGAAAATATGGATAACTGGATACTTACGCGTGACCTATCAAGAGATCTGAAGGTTTCGAATTTTGATCTCATACAGCGATGCGAGTACACACTATTGTAGGGCCTCAGATTATTAAGGTGATTTCACTACAAAATGTACTTATTTAGCACTGAGAACTAGATGGGCATGGGATTCGTTATTATCTGGTTATTTAAAAACAGGTTAACACCGTTTTATAATGAAGAATTTGATAGAAAAGATTGTTCCTATTTATGAATTTAACGATGAATCCCACGATTGTTGATTAAGTTATGTACACATATGTATATCGTCTAGTCAGTAGAGTTTTACGTAAAATCTTATATGAGTCAGTACCGCTTTAACTTCCCACAATTCACTATAGTGCAGTAGTATAGAAAATGAAAACATTAAAACGTAAGAAAGGATAAATAAATAAAACAAGTAGAAAAACAAGTAGATGAGATCAAATAAGGAATTTTACTGATATATATGTAAAAATCGGAGGAGACAACAGTGTCTATTTGTAGGATATTTTAATAAAGCAAGAATTTGATACCGCTCTGCAACGACTTACGGAAAAGCTGCTACACCAGCCAATGTATGTGCAGTTGCAGAAACACCTGATTTAGGAAGCATATCTTCTATCTCACTTGATATATCTTCCAAGTAATCATGAAAACGTGATACAACAGTTTGAGATGATACTCTAGCCAGATCGATTAACAAAGGATCAAGTTTAGGTGTAATAGGAACAATTGATGATAACCCTTCACCACCAAGTATTCTCGTTTGCTTATGTGAGTCTCCAAGACATTTTAAGAAGGTTGACTGAAGTTGTGTAACAAATGGACGAACAGATTGTGGGCACTAAAATAAATAAAATCAGGTTGACTCGTCATTTCATAATTTAATTTAAAAAGATCCCAGTCAAAAGATCATCAACCAGTTACAATATTCTGGCATAGTGATCAAAGAGGATAAAATGTTACATGTGAACATAATATGGATAAATCACGAATAGAAAGGATAAGGACAGTTATTTAGGAAATGAACTCACCTTATTAACAAGCGAAGTAAGAGACTGCAACACAGCAACACGAACAACATTCGTCTGACGCTCACCCAGTAAACGGATGAGAGGCCCAATAACTTTGATAACGCAACCTTGAAGTGCTGTTCCATTCGCATGAATTATGCATTCTGATAATCCTTGTGCTGAAGGTTCTTTAATTGCGGGACGCCCACGGAGTGTACACTCAGCATATAATTTAACTAAACTAACAAGTGGTAAAGTAGGATCTGAAAACCCAGGCAAATATTTTTGACCTTCATTTTTATTAGCAGCTGCTAACTTGTTCATTTCTGATATAGCACCACGAATACCTTGACGCAAATCACCAATTTGGGAAGTAATTGTTTCAGGGTTCCAACGCTATAAAAGTTAACGAATAATAATTATGAGAACGGAAAGTGTCATAGATACACTTAAACTACTCATTAGTAGTTAAAAAATCAAATAGATCTCGAGTACATAAAAAAGTGTAGAATAAGTTAAGAAATGTTTGAGAAGGTACGTCTTTAATGTTACTTGTTATCCGCATGTAAATTAGCTACAGAGTTATATGTTTATAAATTTGACTGAGAATAATCTTATTTAAAAAGAATTGAAAATACTTTTCTGTGACGAAAATTATTTATCAAATACAAACGTAAAGAAGATCAACTATCAGGAACTTTTAAAGGTTACCGTTTTTTCTTGTAACAATAAATTCAGAACGATAATAACAAGAGGTAAAACTAACTTTGAAAAGTGTTTCTAAACATTTCCATGCTTCCGATAAAATAGTTTTGTCAGTAGAAGCTAAAAGACGACAAATATTACGAAGAGCAAGTGGATATGATTCATTCAACACTCGACTTATAACTTCTTTAGCATCAGGATTTTCCTCCATCTCATCATCATCATCATCATAACTGTCGTCATCATCTTTGTCCATATCATCTTCGTCACTATAATCTTCATCGGAATTAAACGAGCCGTCATCAGATGCCTCTTCATCTTCGAGATCATCATCGTCAACGTCAGATTCATCAGTTTCATCTTCATCGGAAGATTTGTTGTTTACATTGGGTTTCACAATGGACGTTACAACATCAGAAGAATCTTGAAAACTAGCCTCAAGATAGGCACGTAGTAACCGTAAACAGGCAAGTCGATATGCACTAGAGCCGAGAACAAGTTTGTTTTGTGTAGTGGTGTTATTTGTGGTTTCGTCAATTGTTACAGTGGTTGACAAACCAGATAATAATTCATTCAAAATTTGACGGATTCCTGTGGCTTCATAAATGCATACAAGGACAGCAGCACAATGCTCTAAATCCTACATTCCAAATAACATAAAATAACAATAAGGACATAATTTTTAGATTATTTTAAAGTTAATACATTAAATAAAACAGTGGTTGCGAATATTTATGTCTAGAATTAATCCCATTCAGTTATAGGTGATTAACTCTATTTAAAGCTAGACAATGTAACTTTGTATTCTCCCTCTCTCATTTGTTTGACAAAGATTTCAGGTAATAGAAAGACGAAGTTGCACAGTCTATAACAGGTTTTTCTATATAATGTGATCGTGTGACTATATCATGAATCTATTTTTTTAGTTCGCTGATGAGTATCCAAGATGTGTTTTTTTATTGTAAATTTTATAGGCTTACCGTTGCCTATTTTCAATTTCACCATACTATAATGACATTGAATACGTATTACGTAATTATATCCAGACTCTAGTATACATTATTATACATCATTAACCTGATATTGTGTGTTTCATGTATAGGAGTGAATGAAATAATAAGCCAGAATATATATACTCGTATATGAACAAATAAAAGTGACACACCTCGTTTTCTGTTTCCTCTTCAATATCCTTATTTTCATTGTTCTGATTATAATCAGACTCAGACATCAATGATACAGTTTGTAGAAGTGCAGGTAAGATTCGACCAAGTTGTTTTGTAAGAGCTTCTCCAGCTACTGACGCAAGATAAGCAAATGCTTTCACATTGACCACTGGATGAGTTAGCTAATAATATAGACAATAGAGAGGAAAAGTAACAACATGAACAACAAAGGTTTATCCTTATTTAGATTTTTAAAAAAACCCAAATGATAACAAAGCAGGACTGTTTAAAAATATTCATGGACATGGGATTTTAAGAATAAACACCTATAAAAACAATAAGAATTAACTTACTTTAGGGACTAAATATGGCATAACAGCTTTGCCTTTAACAGCTAATAATTGTTTTATACCATCTAACGCATAATGGCTAGTTTCTGGATCATCTAATTGAGCAAGTAGATCTGGTAGAATACCATCAAGTGAGCGTATACCAATAGCAGTATATAATAGTTCAAATGTCTTGCCACCGTTACGACGCACTTCAACAAGTGGATCGCATAAAGTACGTCGAATAGGATCTAATAAGCTGTCGGCATAATTTGATAGCTAAATAGAAATATTCAACAATATTTATTAAGAAAGGTTTATTATACATAAGTTTAAAAAGGAAACAAATCGCAAGAAAGATTTTTTGTTAAATAATATGTCTAACTTCAACCAATCCACGAAGTTGCGCCACCGTACACCATTGTCTTCAGTGAGTTGTTATCTCACAACAGACCGGTTGAACTCCACTGGCAACGGCTTCTCACTAGAACTCCAGGAGTTTTTTTTGAAGTCAGTGGTCTAGTGGTTAAGTGCTCGCGCGCGAAGCCAGTAGGTCCTGGGTTCGAGCCCCGCGTGGTGCGGGATCGTGGATGCGCACTGCTGAGGAGTCCCATACCAGGACGAAACGGCCGTCCAGTGCTTCCAGGTTTTCAACGGTGGTCTAGCTTCAACTGACTCATGATTTCTAAAACTCTCCACAAAACCCATTCTGAAAATAATATGTACAGGAATGTATATCTACAATGACATTGTAATGGAACAAAAAGAAGCAGTACAAACCAAAGGTTTAATAGTCAGTGGGTATATATGTACATCCATTCAAGTTGCAATACTTTATTGACACATAGATGTTGTTAGGCCAAATCCAAGAATAGTAAAGGTAGTAACAATATCATTCGTAATACGAAAGATTAGACATCGAAGATACGATTCGAAAGGAAAATTATAAACAAGTTGAATTAGGAAAAATATACGAGGAAACCATAATCTAGGAATTTTGGGGAAGACAAAGAATGAATGCACGTAGTCCATTGCAAATGATTTGAAATCATGTCACTCAAAGTCTCTAACAATTAGTTACGATAATCACGTGGACTACAACCAGCTAGTCTACACTTATTAACATGACTCAGTACATTTGTCAGTGACTTAATGGACTGAGGCCATGTTTTGATATGGCCGCCACCAGCTATCTCCTAGCTTATTTCTACACTAGAAAACAATCGAGGAAGATGGTGGTTGGGCATATATATGTTTCAAGCAAAACACAGAAATCAAGTGTATTTCATAAACTATATATTAGTTATCTACTTTTATTTAAGAAATTTACAAAATTAGCAATAGTAATAAATTCAAATACTCACTTTTCATAGCATTCAAGAATGCCTTCTTGTACTTTATAACAAAATACTTTGGTATATAACAGCAAAAATGTAAGATAATACTTATCGTTATATATACAATGGCAGCAAAGTTAACTCAGTTTATGAATTCATAGACCTTCACTGACTTATATTTTGCGTCATATTTTTAGTGTGATTGGGTAGAGATAATAAGCAGTAGTCAAAAAACAAAGTACCTGAAGTAAGCTCAGAACCTAAGACCCAACAGTTGATTGACTTATTCATCAAAGCATTTCATTTCTAATGAAAATTTAGTTATTTTTAGAAAAACTGAATCGGTAGAATTCTATCGGCACTAAAGTAATAGATAAACAAGACTAGTCAGTGGTAAATTAACTATGAATATCTCAGTCCTATGGGTCAATCGCAGCCTAAAGACACCAATGATAACGTCTAAGACTGTGAAGCTAGGTTGTGCAATTCTGAATTCCGCAGAGAAAATCCGTCCCCTCAAGACTGAGAGCAAGTCATGATGACTTGTGTCAACTGGTGCAAAATTTAGGTCTACAGTTTCTTGAAGACTAGCTCCGACCATATGGCATCCCAGAATAGAGCACGCTTCATTGAGTCACAATGAAACTTAGTTGATAAGATATAATCAGTACCAACACACTAAAATACATGATATCAGTAACAATTCTGATCACTTAATTGAAAGGCTTTATCGTATTTACCAAACTTACAAAGAAAACACAACACAGATCTCTTATAATGAAGTAAAAATTAGGGGCAAAAAAGAACGATACAACATACCAGATCAGACTGACAACTGCGAATAATTTCAATTAATCCAGTACAGACACCACGTCGTTGGTCAGCATCTGGAGAGTCTAAGCCGGTTACTAATAGTGGAATAATCTCCGGTAGGATTCTTTCACCTAATTTGCGTACCACATCACCAAGTGCACGAGCGGCAATCTTACATCCAACGGGAAAAAATGTAAAAATATACAGTTAAGAAAGAAATAGACCAAACTCGGAAAAATCTGAATAACAACAATGTCAACAGACCAAATAATTACATAACGACAATTTCTTAAGAAAAAACTTATTTTGAATTGTTGCCATTACAATAATGATAATTACAAAGTATGAGTAACAGTAGCATAATTTTCTATAGTGATGTGACCTATTTTGAGTAGCTCGTTGTAATGTAGCTTTTTTTCAATAGGATGAATGATAATTTCCATTGAATACTTTAATTTTCAAGATTCATACTGATTATTAACAATGAATCTATGTCGATATTAACAGTTCATTGATTTGATAATAATTAATACTAGTTTACAGATATTTTCAGGTAAATTCATAGTCTGAATAATAAACATAGTGAAGTGATATCGTTTGACAGCTGATCATCCAAAATGGAGAGAGATAGATTATGATGATTGTTCTTATTTGCTTATAATGATATATTTGACGCTTTAAACATTTAACCATAAAAAACTTCGACATTTGAACTCCGAACAGAAAAAAAAGGAAGGAGATCAGATTATATACAGAAGGACATTTGTAGAATTATGGGCGACCTTAAGGTATTAAGAACTTGAGGGGGGAAATGCTGAAGCTAATACGGAATTCGGTAATCGTTCAATCAGGATCTTCAAAGTATAGAGGGTTTCTTTCTAGATATTACTAATTGACTAAAGTACTTCCCCAAGAATTATTGACGACTTTCAACGGGGAATACTTAAAACATTTTGATATAAAAAGTGTATCACACAATACAATGTTGGTGAAATGGATTAACATGAAGCTGTTAGTTTATTAAGTAGTTGCATTGAGGGTACATTTCCTGTACGTCTGACATCAATACATTTCATAGTTTCAACCAAAAATTAAAATGCAACAAACATTATTACTTAATAGATTGAATTTTATAGAGTTAAAATCAGAAATGAGAAATTATGAAACTGTAAAAAGAAACTATCTAATTAGATGAACACATTCAATGTTAACTAACATACTTGTTGATGCTCACGAGAAGATGATCCTAAAGTATCCAATAATAAACGAACAAGTACAGGCATAATTTCACGTAAAGTTCTTGGAGTATTAGGTACAACAATTTTCCATATATGTATAGCAGATTGACGGACAATGATTATAGGATCAGAACGTGATAAATGCAAACGAGCTAGTATACGATTATGACGTTCATCACCTATAATTTGACGTAGACGTTCATGAGCTTCAACCGTACCAAATGTATCATCTTCATTTGTTGTCTATAAAATGAAAACAAATATATTGTTTAATGTTATGTATAATCGATATTCAATATTAGATAATAATAATAATAATAATAATAATAATAATAATAATAATAATAATAATAATAATAATAATAATAATAAACAATATGGAGTGCAAAATTAATTTTGAGAGAAACTAACGAACGACCGATGGAGATAAAACCCTAATTGTAAACATATACTCTCACTTCACGCTTTTCATACGAAATTAAAAACAATAAGAATTTCAAATAAGGTATTCTGTTGAATAAATATAAGTTAATGGCCGAGTTACATGATAGATTCAACAGAGGAGATGTACTTGGAGGCTTTCTTACAAAATTATTGTGTGTATATTGACGGTGATCTTAAGAGGTTTTAGTGATACTCTGACAGTAAAAACAATCGGATCCACTTCACTAATTAAAGTGTTACTCATTTTTAGACTCATTTATGATATATTAAAAAACCAATAGAATGAACCAAGAAAAATCCCTACCTAAGTACAGTTGTTGTGGAACGAACACAACGAAAACTTCGTCAGCATGTAAATATTTTTTAAATATGATTAAATATACACAAGTAGAAAATAAATTTATTCAATGAGTTCATTTTATTTATTTGCTTATTTCACATACTTTTGTAGTTCCTTTACCAGATAATCCAGATAAACGATATAATAATTCACCTAACAATTGAACAGATGAATGTCGTATGCGCCAATTGGAATCAGTCATTCCTTGTTCTAATTGAGGCAATAATAATTCTAATGATGTTTCTGAAAACATATGGACTATACGTTGAGCTGCACGTAATGCTGTTTCACGTAGAAATTCAGTTTCATCAGATAATGACTAAAAGTATAGAGGAGGGACAAGAGATTAACGAAGAAAATAATAAATTTACAAAGAAATGTTTAGAAGTCAGTTTAAAACAATTGTAGGAAAATGTAGTATATATGATCCAAAGGTATTTTTGGAGATCAACAAAATCTGTAAAACTCATCTAAACAGATCTTTTGTAAACAAATACACACTGCATTAGAGTGGAAAAGATTGTAGTAATGCAACAAACTAGGATATAACTTACTTTAAGAATAGTAGGGATAATTGGTCCAATGAATTCAGCAAAATCATCTTGAAATACAGTTGGTAAATAAATGAATAGCATTAAATAACCATCACGAATATGTGGTTGTAATTTAGATTCAGATGAAACTGTTCTAATTAAATCGGGTAAAACAACACGTAACTTTTCGATTCCCATACCGCCAAGTACTTCAGCCAATCCTTGAGCACCACCAGAACGATCAACAGATGATGTTTCCGATGTTAGAGTTGACATAAGCCATGGAAGTAGTTCCTGGGAGATTTTAAAAAACAAAAAAAAACCAAGCACAACGGAAGAGATTAAATTTTTATCTTCATTCGATTATCACTTGAAAAAGTTATGCGTAAAATCCTTATTTATATGTCTAAAGTTTGCAACTCAAACATTTCCGGTAAAAGTATTCCTTAAAATTAAAACAATATTTCATGATTAGTGTACTAGTATTAAGTATTAAATTCTGTATTTTAATATTATTGGTAAACAGATGGAGTTGAACTTAACAGTGAAATTCGGAAAGTCAATGAGTTTTTCTAATAGCCCTATCATTGAAACTTGTGCAGAATCAAAATAATGGACTAAATTAAATTAAATCTCTATTCAGTAGGGAAATGAAATTTATTTTTCACATATTGAACATTCAACATTTTATATTATTTTAGTTATAAATAAGCTGTATTATGTAATCACGGTCAGTAATCATGATCTAGTAACTAATAGAATTTTGAGAGAGATTGTAACTATTTATCAATATTATGAAAAGCGATGAGATATTAAAACATTAACTATAGAATAAGTGTAATGCAAAATAATCCATTTTATGCTACATATGTAACTTATTATTCCGACAATAATATTATCAGCTTAGTTTGAAACATGTAATAATATTATGAAGTTCTATTTGCCTGAGATTTAGCCACTTATTATTGTTCAGAAGTCAATGAATTCATTTTATAATAATTCTATTAATAAAAAGATAAACCTGAACATACAGACCGAATGTAAATTAATTAAGTTAACTTACAGAGAAAGAAGTTTCACCCATGCCTCGAACAACAGCACCAAGTGCAGCAGCCGCAGCTGAACGTACTTCAGGGACAGCATCCAACAAGCATGTTTTCAATAACGGTAGAATAGTACTTACATAAGGCGCTAACTCCTAAGTAGGAAATTTGAAAAAGAAAAAAAGATTCAGCATTATTCAATTTAATTTAACAAAAGTAAAGTAAATAACAAGAAATGTACAAAATTTCAAAATAAAAAACAACAGATTACAATAACATTTTTGAATTTACATCGCTAATTCGAAACGTCATTATCCATGCACATAAGATCCTACTTCCATCTGAAGTTTTTGCTGATGATACTTTTCAAGAGAACAAACAAAGCTTCACGATTAAACTCCACTAGAATCCCATTTCTAAAAGAACTTGTAATTGATTAATTTCATGCACGAAATAGTATAACATTAATTGACCGAAAGCGAACATTTTTCAAATATAGAAAGACCGAAATGTAAGACAAACAATATAAAATACCGAATAAAACAGGAACGTAGTATTCAAATCACTAAAAAAAACAAGGAGGTCACTACTTATTCAATTTATGAGTATGAAATAAAGTAGTCAGTTTGTTTCTTGAAATAAATACACATTTGATTTAGTTAACTAATGGTTAATTGTGAGATAACTGTATAAAAGGAAATCAATAAATTTTGTTGCATAATTTTTAAACATATGAGGGAGTGGTAGAGAAATATTGCTACTATCGTAATTAGGGCAAATGTGAATATCGAGACGTTGAGTTCTATATCAGGAAACTTTAAACAACATATACGATAATTATGATGAAACATATTTGTTATGACTTTAAATTGTTGTAGATTTCTTCCCTGTGTTATCGATCGATTACAATGACACGCAAACACGTACGGACGGCCTAGAGTCTCGATTGGTCCCACTTCCCCGTCTAGCCCAGTCAGTTGAGTCCAGAACACAAGTCACAGCCTCGGGGATATGAATCACTATATTTCAAACATACTTTGTTTATATACCAGTCAAGCATACCACAGCGTACCATAAAAATAGAAAACAACATTTTGTACAAGTGAACAGATATCGACCAATAGGAAATGTCCATTTAAAGTCCAAGGACACCATTGAACTTAACATGATAATTATTGGTCTATTCCTGCGCATCCACAACAATATTGGACATTTTTATTCACTGAAAAAATTTGATATGAGAAAACATGAGTGGCTTAAAACCAAGTGAATGGATATAAATCTGAAGAAATTTTCATGGCTAATCTTGAAAGAACCAAGCTTAAAGAAGCGATTGGTGAAATAGTGTATTATTGGATGTATGATGACATCTTCAGCGTATATGATCATCAATAGCATGCAACAAATCTACCGAGACTTCAACGAAGTTTATAAGAATACCCCAATTTACTATGGAACATGAAAACGAAAACAAGCCCCACCTTCTTTATATCGTAAAAAACCAGAAGAACGATGGCACAGTTTAATGTTTAGTTTATAGAGAAAAATAGTATGGAATTTATTCTAATCTCAATAGCTTATAGCCCACCCAGTTACAAAAACCTATTGATTAAAAGTTTTACAGAACAGAAAGCATACGTACTCCCGATACCCTAGAAGAGGAACTAATGAAAGTTGAGAAGTGTTTAAGGAACAACGGATGACCACAGAAATTTATCGAGAAATATGGAAGATGTAAAGACAAACAGGTCAAAGAATCTACAATAAATAAAAACATACTTTTACTCAAATGTGACTATATTACAGGAACAGTCAACAGAAGACTAAAAACTACATTAAAAAGGATATATTTTGGAGCTGAATTGGTTATCTTCTGCAAAGCAATGTGTCTTTAACACAATAGGTACCTCTTTCATGTTAACATCAACTGTGTATAGAAATTCAGATGTATCTGCCAAAGCGATAACATTGGTAGAATAGAAAGAAGGGCTTACAACCGATTCAAAGAACGTATTCCAAAAGGTTCGGAGTCAAGAGGAATAAAGGTATTCAATAGTGTTAACTCGAGATATCTTGATACATGAACATCAAATTGATACACTGAAATCTCTCAAGTTAATTAACAAACAATAGAATCCTAGTCTTCTGAAATTCGCTGAAGTTATAACGATCAAACGATTGAAACTAGATTAATGTGTTTAAAAATGTAACAGTCATAAAACTTTTTTCCCTTGGTAATATAACATCCATTTTATTGTACCATTTTTTATTCCGATACTTTCTCAAGTTTTTAAATCAGTTTCATTTTTCTTGAATTCATAATTTAAATTCTAGCTGACTGGTTTCAAATCATAATATTCTTCGTTACCATTAATTTGTTCATAGTTATTTCACTACGCAACTATTCATAGTTTGTTAACTGCATGATTTTAAATCACTATTTTAATGTTCTGAAACTTTCCCTCTCAAACTATGTTTATCTGAAACAAATGTTTATGATCTTATTAAATTAACTAAAATCTTCGTTACATCATGATACACATAATCATCTCTACTCACCTTCGTATTTTATAGGTATGTCAATTTCTATGATAATTTTGATTTTAAAATATTATATATGTTGTAAGTAACTGATGAGAACATAAAGAAATAAGATGAATTCAGATTATTTTGCACTAATCCTTGTGCTTGTTCTCTCTTCAACATAATAATAATAATAATAATAATAATAATAATAATAGTATCATTTTACGGCAAAAATCAGCTTACCTCTTTTCTGGCCAAACTGTGTAAATTGCCAAAAATTTGTGCAGCCATTTTACGTGTTTCAGTAGATCGATCAGCGAATGCTCGTTGTATAACTGGTAGTATAAGTGCTAGACTTGGTGCATCAAGAACATGCACAAAACATGTATCACGAAGTGCTGCTAAACAAGGCGTTTTATCTGCCAATGGCTGTTGAAGACAGTTAGTAAGTAATGGGACAAGAGCTAAATAGAAGAAAGCGGGTCAGTAAAATGTTCAGTGAACAAATGAAAGTAAAGTAGAATTTCGTATTTTAGTACTTTCTTTTATTAAATTAAACACATCTCCCGATGTACTAATGGAACGTGTACACAAAATAATTACTACATCTAAGATATTTATAAGTACTTTTCTACAAGAAATAGATTGGAAGAAGGCTTAGGGGTTTGCATCAATACAAATGGAATAAGTCCATCGTCTCAATAATTGTTGATTAGATAGTGTTAGCAAGAGGAATTTGTTTTGTTGAAATATAGAAGATAACTGTAATACATAGTTAAGAACCTTAGGTAGTCTAGGTCGAAACATACCGTCATGGTAAACTAGAATACTTAGTAAATAAATGTTCATTAATACAGGGGGATTTGTGGAGATTGTAGAATTTTCATAATTAGTTAGACTACCATTAAAAACCTGGGAGCGATGGAGGGGCGCTTCGCTATATTATGGGATTTCTCAGCAATGTCCATACATGAACTCATTAGTTTTATGTTTTTCAACATCGACTTCATGTAAATTATCAGCTGTAACTCACTGACGTACCAGAAATCAACAGTAGCTTCAAAGTTGATAGTTTTAGACAGAAGAATAGTAGACAAACTATTTCTACTCAAAAGTTAAAATTTATAATGACATTCAACGATTCAATTTTGTTAATCTCATTGTCCAACATGTTACATTTACAAGTTAGGTAATTACAATACAAGACCAGTGAAAAAAATTTAAGCAGCTAACAATAGTGAATATAGGCACACATTAAGCTTTTGTATACGTCATGATTTAGGCTTAAATATTGCTCGAATTGTTACTTATCAGAATTCTCAATTGTGTTATGTTAAGTGATATGAATCTATGGTTGTTGAATGGTGATTTCAGTAGGTTAAATAGTTTAACTATCAACCGCGGGAACAGTATAAGTCCATTTGTGTTTACGTTTATTTGTTTACAGATGTCCAAAAAAAGCGAAGGACGATACAGTTAATACACAATGACAATAACAATGAAATAAGAAAAACCAATGACAATTATTAAGCGCTAAATTAGTTAGAAAAAAATTGTTTATATACCACTCCATAACATACCTTGAACTTCAGGGTTACGAATCACTTTACCAATTTGAATCAATGCTCTAACACCAGCTTGTTTAACACGGTCTTGAGAATCCACTAACACTTCTAGTAATCGGGGAACTATTTGAGGTAAACAAGCAGATAACTGTTTTGATGCACAATGCGTCATCGATGCAAGCAAATCTACAGCCTCTGTCATTATTGATGATGTCGGTTAACAAAGCAATAAAAGGAAGTATAAGGAGGAATATAGTATATATTCTACTCAATAAACTGAGATATTAATGGTCAGTCAGTCAGTCAAAAACAACGTAGAACTTGGGACAAATAAGCATTGGTTCGTTACCAATGGCTTAGTGAAGATACTTGTATCTTTGTATATGATTTCAATTTATAACCGTTAGCTGTCATAAACACTAGTTACTGGTTAGTTAGATGAACAATCAAATATATGTGATTGTAACAACGACCATTCAGGTGTAAGGCACTTCAGGAAATATCCTCGAGAAAATGACATCTAAGTTTAACGATAATTTCAAGCTGAATTTATCATAAAATACAACAGTATTTGTTTTGGTACTTATGTAAGGTGGTGACGTTTGATGCGGACCTCTATGGCGCAACACTTTAAACAAATCCCTTAAAATAGTGATTCTAAAATCACGGGAATTCTTACTTAAGAAGAGATTCGCCACCGTCATTAGTAAACACTTTCATATAAGATATACACACTATAAATTTATGAAAGCTGATGGAATCAGAGCGTGATACAAACTATACCACATGCTATGATATGAGACAATTACACAAATATCCGCTTTCTATTTACATGTATCATATCAGGAAATCTAATTAATGGTAGGAAATTTATTGTAAAATTGAAGACTGAAAACTTATCAAGTAAGAATTAATAATAAATATTATATTAACACGAAAAGATCACTGAGCCACTTATATGATTTAATATAAAAAGATAAAAACTGAGAACTGTTACATCAAGAATAACTAACCGGCTTTTGTACGCCAAGACTGTTGATCATCGATAGCTTTAAGTAGTGCTGGTAATATTAATTTCACACCATGTGCACTTAATTTACTCATAACCGCTCGTGCAGCATTTGAAGCGGCCTGATAGAATGTGTGTGTGAGAGAGAAACAGACCACAGAGAGAAAAAATAGATTAACCATCTTAAATGAATTAATTAATATAATGAAAACTCTAATTTGGATCTTTTGCACTCAGTGAAATATAGATACTGTACTGAACGATACTATACAGTTATGGGGATATATTCAGCTAAAGCGCCGTAAGGATGAGATAACGAGATTAAAATAGTTTTGCAGATTATTTCAGATGTCCTATTACAAATGAGTGTTTTTGAACACGGATAACTCATAGAACTTAAGAGTTGTACTGAAACACGATTTCTATTTGACTTGCTTTTTCGACATATATGATTAAAAATACTTTATATCTCTCAACATGGCCAGTTTTATGTGGCACCACTAATTCTTAGTATATAAATTCAGCTCAGATACTATTTTACAAATGTTCATGTCGTAAATAAATTGGATTTCGTTTCATATGAAGAATAATTAAAAGAATATATAAGCTGTTTAGATTGACACAGTTATGACATAGTGTATAGTATGTTTTGCCCGTCAGAAATAATCCCATTTTATTTATAATCTAAATTATTTGATCAAACCATGTACGAAAAAAAAACTCGTGTCTTGATCATTGGTTGAACGAATAGTATAAACAATATTAGGAGTACTGATCTATTAACAGTATAATTAACAATAGTAAGTGCAGGTAACAAGGTATTGCGTATAAACAAAGGGATTAACAATAACACGTTGTTAAACGGTCAATTGTTTGACCAATCGAGAGCTTTTTTACTGATTACATTCCTGACTAAAAAAGGAAAGAGTTTACAAGGTATAGTAATGCTATTTTATGACTCACTACCACTAATTACATCTTAAATTTAATTGTCCA